GAGTCTTCTTGCCATAGAAATCGGAGACGGACCCAATATAACTCAACTTCTTTTGGGCTGATTAAATTTGGCCAGAAAATTTTTGAAAGATTACCATGAAAGTAGGGAACTAGACAATTTTAGTAGTCCCACCAAAATAAATGTGTATTCATTAAAGAAACGTGTGATCAACCTTGTTCCACGATTTTTTTTTTATTGATGGTATTTTATTCGCTGATGTTGACATACCTCTCAAAATTTAGTTATAGACATATTCAGTAATTCACACACCATTATATACAAACAAATGAAAAATATCAATTATTGGTTTTTGTTTGATTTGGTGGTGTAAACCAATCGACAACTTTCTGGATATATGTTATGTAAAGTCAAAACAATCGATTTTTGTTTTCTTTTTATTTCCAAACTGACGTATACCAGATAATACCAAAATTTACGAATATATATAATTCTAAATCGAATAAACAATTTCATTACGATTCCAATAATCTCTTAAATGGCAAGAATTGATTTTAGCTTCTATTATTGCTACTAGGACAGACTCCGCGCGTATGCGCAAACCTTATTTTAATTTATATTTTAAATAATATATTTTTAAAATTTGTATTGAATTTTATGTTTACTATCAATATTTTTGTATTTAAAATATTTATATTTTATTTTATTTTTTTTTGATGATATATTATTTGTAACCTCTTCTACACCACTTATGTCAAATAGTCTAATTTTTCTCTTAAAATAATAAGAGACTAAAAATCTAGTTTTTTTAATTTTTGCATGAAAACGTAATAGTTCACTTAAAAATATACGTTGAATATCATAGAGAAATATTTAATTTTTCTTCGATCTTCATATTCTTATTATTCTTGTAAATCTTACTAATATAATACTTATTAACTTTCTTAATTTACCATTTTGAAATTTTTTGGTTATATATATTTTATTGATTCCATTTTTTTGATTTTTAAAAAATTGTATGACATTTTCATGTGGACACCTTATTATTATTATTTTTTTAATAATTTTTATCTTTTTAATTGTTTATTAAATATTCTTTGTGTTTTATCATTTTATTAGTTGGAGTTTTATATAAAATTATTTGAAACTTTTTAACTTATTCTGTTTCATAATTTGTTTTCACTTACAATAAAATTTAATTATATTTTTAGTTTGAAATTAAAATTTACACTTGAAAAAAAAAGATAGAATGCATTTAAAATTTTTTGTATTATATAATATTTATAAATTTTAATATATTTAAATTAAATTTAAATATCATTCTAATATAAATACATATAAGTATTTATTTTTGTTCTTTAATGTATTTACTTTAAATTTAATTAGTTTTTTATTATTAATATTATAAATGGACATGTGTCACTCTCTCCAATGCTGATGTGTCATTCAGCTGAGAGAGTTGAGCAAGTTTTATATATAAGATATGCTTATTATCCATCACCCGCAAAAGCATATACTTGGAAATAGTGTCTTAAGCTACATTGTATAAGATGGGTGTCATTCGGCCCCAATAATTTTTAAAAATTTGTGTAATTTATTAAAGTTTAATATCAGTATTCCCACTTCTCAAATCATATCTATTACCTATTTGCCCCTAATAAAAAAAATTTTTACCTCCACCACTCAATGTCTACCTGTTTCTCTTTTTTCGAGAGATTTTAGTAAAATCGATGTTACGTGAAATATAGAAAAAATTTGCAGATGCATCAAAGCAGGACAGTCTTGTTGCCAACGCAACTGATAGAAACATACCCAATGTAACTCAACCTCTTTAAGGCTTACTTGGCCAGAAATCTTCGAAAGATCAACATAATGGTAAGGAATTAGACAATTTTTAGTAGTCCCACCAAAATAAATGTTTCTTATAAAAAAAAAAAATTGTGATCAACTTTGCTCCATGATTTGGTTTCCATCAATGGTTATTTATTCTCTGACGTTGATATGCCCGAATTTCTAATTACAGACAGATTCAGTAATTCACACATCATTATATACAACTTAATAAAAAAAATCAGTTATTGGTTTTTGTTCGATTTGGTGGTCTGACCGATAGACAACTTTCAGGATTTTTGTTCAGTACTGCTGAACTAATCTATTTGTTTTTTTCATTGTTCCAAACTAACTTTTAGCAGAATATACCAAAATTTATAGATCTATTATATAATGATAGAGTTTTCTCTCCATTTAGGGTGTCCACATCAGTATAAGAAAAAATTAAAATTAATGATTCAATTAATTCATATATTTTAAAATAGTATTATTTTCATTTAAAAATATAAAAATACTAATACTAAAGTTAATGACTTCATTAATTCATATATTGTTTATAATCATTATTTTTTATCAAGAAGAAACGGAGTAAAATCTGGAAAAGATAATAAAAAGAAGTAGTTGAAGAAAAAGACAATGATGAAAATGAAACTCAAGACGATGAAAAAATAAGAAAAAATCAAAATATAAAAAAATGATGCAGATGAATAGGAAATAAAAGATGAAGAATACATACACGAGATTAGTAAAAATAAGAGACAAACAAAATCAGAAAAAGATGAAAAAAAACCAAAAAGAAAAAATAGAAGTCGAAGAAGATGAAGATGAAGATGAAGAAAAAAAAAAATAAAGAAAAAGAGAAATAAGAACACAAAAATGATGAAGAAGTATTTCAGAAAATACGAAGACAAAAATGTTGAAGATGAGAAAGGAGACCGAAAATAAAATAATATACTATGTTAATATGATGATGAAAAAAAGTCTAATAAAATCAAGAAAAATAAGAAAAAGAATATGATGAATTAGCTGTTTAAAAATGAAATGTGATGAAAATCTAAACCCATAAAATTTAACATTAAAATATACTTAAAATATGTATTTAATACATATATATGTATATTCATAATTAATATATTTAGTATAAATTAAATAAAATAAAAGAAATTTAAGTATAAAGATGAAGAAGAACAAAAAAGTAAAATAACAAACTATAAAAATATGAAGATGGAGAGGGATAAATTTGTTGTTATATAGAAATATTATTAAAAATAATTAATAGAACACATGCATTGTTAACACAATGCAGACTATAAAAATTATTTATTAAACTAAGAAAAGAAATTTATCAAACAAACTATATTTAAGAAATAACATATAAAAACATGAACATCTCTATATTATTATTTGAGTAGACATTTTTCAAAATGAACCTTAATTTGTAAGATATTACAGAATATTTTACATAAACTACTTTTTATTTACATGATATTGCATAATTAAACCTTATGTATAAATATTGGGTCTTAGAAAATTTCGTGGCCCAACAAATCTTAACTCACTAAATGTATTCTTTTATATATCATAAAAAAAGGGGCAATTATATTTATAGGACAAAAAATCTGGATTATTATCCCTTTAAGACTTTTTCAAATTTGGCCATTTTTGGACATAAATACCTTTTTATAAGATTTCGAAAATTATATAAAAAATATTTTTACAGTCTAAAAAATTTTGGAAAAATCAAAAAAGAAATTACGAATACTTTCTAAAATATAATATATTTTTAAAAAAATTTTAAACATTTGTGTTACAAATATTTTCCGAATATAGTAGAAAGTGCATTCTACAAATCTATAAATTATAGAATAGGCTTTCTACTATTTCATTAGTTTTCTACTAAAAATATAGAATTAGTTTTCTACATTTCTTCTATGTTCTACAAAGCTGTGAAACCGTATTCTATAAATTTAACATTGTTCTACAGTTTAGTAGAATTATATTTCTATAGTTCACTCTTTGTTCTACATCTTAGTAGAATTGGGTTTCTACGGAAACGCTTTGTTCTACAAATTTAGTAGAATCTCATTTCTACGGAAACCCTTTATTCTACAATTATAGAATACCTATTCTACAATTCAGTTAAATGAATTTCCGAAAATCTAGGAGCAGATCTAGGAGAATATATTTCTTTCCTTTTCATAATATTTAATTTCCTAATTAATTTTTGAAATATTTTTTTTCAATTTAGAGAATTCTGTCGCCATTTTTTTTCTTCTCCTCCTCAATCTAGCGTTTTTTTTCCTCCTTCAACCTACAAACTTTCACGTTTTCTTCATAACTTTTACGTTTTCTCCTTTTTTTTTCGTACCACCTGCTTTAAAATATGTTACAAACCTACGTAACATGTGGATTATGGACTTCTGGTTTGAAGAGAGAGTGGGATTTTAATGTTGATGAAGAGAAAGGAGGAAGATTGATAACTTTGGAATCGAGTACAAGTTTTGAGGAATTAAAAATGATGGTGAAAGAGGACTATGGTATCGTCGATCAGCATGTTCAAATCAGTTATCTACCTAGTGATTTGACTGATAAATCAGGGTTTCCCCCAGTCATTATCACAAATGATCGTCAAGTTAAACATTTTGTTGGATATGCAAAAAAAAACCCTTCAGTTCGGCTCTATGTGACACTGACAGGTCCATCTGCAATTTGAAGCGAACTTGTCAACATTGATTTGAATAAAGAGCCCTCTGACTCTAGCAGCGATGAGAAACAGCAGGAAAAACCTGAACCTTTAGTCTTACAGCTGCAAAATGATGGCTGCACAACAGGTGCTCGTAAGCTAGAAGGCCTTGGCAAGGATGCTGAAGATATTTTTTTTGGTGAGGAGGAAGAAAAAATCCAATCTCGGTGTTGGTTAGTAGACGCTGTCAAGAAGGGGCAACTTTTCAAAAGCAAAAACTATTTGAAAGCGACTTTTGAAATATGTGCAATGCAGCACAACTTTGATTATGATGTGACGAAATCTACAAAAAAAAATCTGGTCAATACGCTGCAAAGATAGGGTGTGCTCCTGGAGCGTTCGTGCAGAATGTTTAGAAGGCTCAACCTATTTCAAAATAAACAAGTATGTTGCTGAACATACATGTGCTCCATCGAAAAAAACAAAAATCGGTAGAACAGCTTCAGCGAAAACAATTGGACTACAGATTATGCATAGGTTTGAAGATGTTAAAGAAGGGCCAATACCTCGAGAAATCATGGAATTTATGCGAAGTGAGTATGGATGCGAGATCTCCTACCAACATGCTTGGGATGCGCGTGAATATGCAGTTAGTGTTGCTAGAGGAATTCCAGAAAAAGGTTACGGCAAAATTCCCAAATATTTGCACATGTTGAAACAAGCTAATCCGGGTACGCATACTCATTTCGAAACTGATTCCGATAATAGATTCAAATATCTATTTATTGCTTTCGGCCAGTCGATTAGAGGTTTCTATAGAGCTATGCGTAAGGTTATTGTTGTTGATGGCATGTTTTTGAAAAGCAATTACAAAGGTGTTCTGCTCTCGCTACAGCGTTAGATGGTGACTCCAGCTTGTATCCAATAGCATTTGGGGTTGTTGATTCTGAGAATGATCGGTCTTGGGAGTGGTTTTTCAGGCAGCTATTGGTCGTTATAGCTGATGGGCAAGGTGTAGCTTTTTGTGTCAGATAGAAATGTGTCCTGTTACTAAAGCACTTGCTAGAGTTTATCCGCACTCTTCACATGGAATTTGCATACATCATTTGTTGAGTAATGTGGCATCTCATTTCAAGACAAAGGGTTTGGTTGGTTTAATTGCAAAAGCGTCAAAAGAATATAGGGTATCTGAATTTGAGAGGCGATTCAATGATATTCGCAACATAAGTCCGCTCGTTGCGAAATACTTGATGGAGGCTGGTGTGGAAAAGTGGGCGCGATGCAAGTTTTCTGGATTCAGATATGACATTCGAACCACTAACCCAGCTGAGTCGATGAATTCTGTTCTGTTAGCACCCAGAGAGTTTCCTGTCATTCCTTTGTTGGACAGCATCAGAGAAATGTTAACCAAATGGTTTTATGATCGAAGAAGAGTAAGCTCAAAGCATAATGCCCCATTAACTATTCAGATCGAAAAAAAAATTGACAGGAGGATTGAGAAGGGTAAATCACTCCGTGTTCATCCAGTTAGCTTGAATCGATTTTTGGTTAGAGGAGACAAATTCGATTGTGTAGTTGACTTGGAGCTAAGGACGTGTACTTGTGGGAAGTACACACTGTTAAAAATCCCTTGCAGACATGCCATCAAAGCTGGTTTTTCGGTGAACAAGGAACCACACACACTTACTGATGCAAGGTTTAATATAGCAATCTTAATCTTCTTTTACAATATTCGAATTTTTTTTTCTTACATTGAAAATACATTGCATTCTAGGTATACCACTGCCGTATGGAGAATAGCTTACGAAGAAAGCATTAATCCAATAGCCGTTCCAGAGGATGCATGGGTCGTCCCATTGGACATTGAAAATTCCAAAGTTCTTGCACCAGAAACACGGAGAGCAGCTGGTAGACGACGCAAGCGAAGATATGAGACGGTGGAAGACGTAATACGTAATTCACAGGGATCACAGCAGACTAAAAAACATAAGTGTAGTCGTTGTGGTTTGGAAGGACACAAGAGAGGGACATGTGACATGCCTATCTAGGCATCTTGTAGATGGTTCCTCTGATCTTGTTGCATCGATGGGTGGAGCACTTGGAGCCGGTGCTCCTATCTTACTTGTCAACGCAGCAACAGAAGTCTCTAAACCCTCAATTTTCCCTTGAAGATTATCGATCTTCTCTTCCAAAGGTTTAAGTGCACTCTGAAACAAATCTCGAATAAGGGATTGTAAACCATCATCGATATGTCTTTCCTTTGCTACAGCTCGTTCCTACAACATCTGTTTTTTACGTGCTTCCGAACCAGGATCACGCACTCTTTTTTCCCGCGGCTTGGAACAGATTCGTCACCTGTATTTGGAAGAAAAAGAATCTAGAAAAAAATAACAAATCAACCTCAAAGGCACTAGATAGAGTTTTAAACAAAGATGTAACCTGGTACGCAAGTCGGTGTCTCAGCTTCGCATGCGTTATCGCCATTGGTGGCCAATGTTTCCGCACGAGCTGTACAAGATGTGCTACCAGCTCCATCAATTTCCCAAACATGTGTACTCCAATCTGTTCCATGGCTGATCATGTTCTTCAAGCAATCTACTCTCCCATCTGTCATCTCATCATCTCTAACATATTCAGCGGAATCAACAACGTCGAAATCCCCAGTACAAGAGATAAACGGGTAGATGTCATCCTGTTATAAATTGTTAAAAAAATAAAGTTAGACCACTATGGAGATGGTGTAAATATAAGTAAATCAACCAAACAAATGAATTTAATAAATACAA